GTCCAATGCAGCAAGACATGTAGAATATGCCATCAGTTATAAACATAGAATTGACTTGGTTCCCCGGGAAAAGCAAAGTTAAATCAATACGTTTGTTGTGTGCACAAATAATACAAATGTATGAGGTCATCAACACAGAAACATCAGGTAAATATGACAAGTGCAGATATTTTCAGATGTTAATGCATAACATCATGATATCATGGGTCTTTTTCATGAAATTTCTTACCAGATAAATAATCCTTAAATGGAAATCTGAAAGGCTCAGACAGGAAAAGGGCCTAAGCAAAATCTCTTAAACGGATAACAAACCCACACAGTGATTTACACAGGCAGAGGTTTAGCTTAGAATTGACTTCTCCTTGCGTTGCAGTGTTCAGTGATTTGAGCAGAGTTTAGCTTGACTGTCTGCATGCTTTTCTCAGCATTACTGTTTTGTGTCTGTCGAGTTGTTTATCCTGCCTGTCAGCAGTCTTTCTCTACCTGCGTCTTTGTTACCTGATCCTGGCAAATTTGCATCTTAACTTTTTTCTGTCTGTGATATTTCCCAAACATCATAATGCATTGCATCTTAGCAAGTGATACATAGATCGAATGGCCTTTCTTGACACAGACACATATTTGACTTCTAAAAGCATTGCAAAATAAAACGAAAGATCAGTTCAGAAAAATCACACAAATAGAGAAAGATAAGCATCCTCCTCAGCTTTTGTACATCACCTTTGTGTTTACGACTGATAGGCTTAAATGAAGGTTTGAGAGAATATTCTAACGTGGCTTGCATTTTACTATGGTGTTAACCTTTCTGGTCCATTCCCAATGCAGACCTTCTGTACGGCCACAGCAAACCCACTGCAGCTTTATCTTATGAAATGGGAGTGGTTCGATGTTTGTAGTCAGGCCTGACTAACTACTGATACTAACTGGACATACTGAGGGAGTTTTTCATAGAAACACATTGGCATGGTGCTGAAATGTCTCTATACAGTAAATACAAGCGACTGTATGAAAAAGAGTAGCTGGTGAAGAAAGTGTATGGTGCCAACTGTAGTCAATTTATTTTCTTCTTTATCTTTGCAGAATAACTTTTGAAAATGAGTTTATTTTACATGTCATTGTTAAACACTGGGTTCACAAAGTTATTTTCTTCTTGTGTTTCCTCTTTTAGTTAAAAATGTTGAAGCAGTATTGGATAGTATTGTTGTTAATGTTATGATTGTTGTAGATATGTTCTGTTTCTTCCTGTTCATTTATAATCTTTATTAATGAAGTATGAGATGAGACTAAAGAAAAAATATCTTAGCACTGAAACTCCACTGGCATTAACAACCAAAGGAAAATTTACTGGAAAATTGTTGTTTTGTTATCTCTTTGTCCCTCCCCCCTTTTCTCTGGGCTACACAAAACAGACGCTTAGGCATATCAATGTAACAAAATAGTAACAAAACAAGCAGAAAGAGAGTGTAGACCAGACCTAGAGCACAGATGTGCATTTGTTTATGAGTTTATTGTTAAGGGTGTGAATCTCTCCTCTAAACGAGGATCATATTTGAATCTTAAGCCAATGTGTTAACTGATAAAGCTAATTTAAGGAACACTAAAACATTAAAAAAGAAAGGGAAAGGTACTTTATACCAGAGCTCTGTGTATGCAATACTGTTGTGCTCAAATATTAATGAAAACAACAGTAAAAAAAAAAAACCAGCAAATCTAGATTTATTGTTTTCTCCTTTCATAATGTCTCTATGGTTGTGAGCATGAAAGCATCATTAATTCCCACTAGGTCTGCATCTAAAATGTTTGTCTCTGTTCTTAAATTGAAATACAACTCTATCTGTTAGGTACCGTTTAACTCGGGTCAAATCTTATTCATCAAGATCAGTTGTCGATTTGGATCTATTAATCTTTACACCCCTATTTCTTATGAAATCATCCTAGGGGTTAGTGTATGATTGGGCCTCTGCTTTTTCTACAGATGTGATCTCTGTGTTAACTTATTCCTAGCAGTTGTTGATGAATAACGTATATGCTGTTGCCTGCCTCTTGTCACAACGCAGGTCAATGGTTCAAAGGTGCATATTTAGCCAGAATTTTCACGTGTTGCACTCATTTCATATAAAAATGTATATTGATTCGATTCTAAAGTACTACCCCACTAAACAGCCTGCATCACATGTGGTAGTTTTCAGCACCATGGAGAGCAACAAGCTGATATCAAAAGAGCAGAATGGTGGCCCACTAGTTTTTGTTTACTTGGACATAAGTGATTAAGGGTTGTACATGCTTGGAGGAAATTACAGAAAAAAAAACATACACTACCTCACTTTTATGCAGTTTGATTGGACTTGCAAAAAAATGTCTGGAAGGTTATAATGTTCAGTTTCTATTGAATATTGATTACACTTTATGGCCATTCTAGAGGTTGTGTTCTGCTATCAAACCAATTGTGTTTTACAGATAGGTTGTTACAGTATTTACAGTAGTATTGATGGCACCCTTAAAATTGTAAAAACTGAATAAAGATCTTAAATGTTCACCGTTGACATCTAAAGTAACAGGAAATTAATGGTTGTACCTTTTGATATCAATTGAGCTCCCATTTGATTTGTTGCCATGGGTAACATTAAAATAGTTTTAAAAAAAAACTTTGATTGTGTGAATACATTAATTACTGAGCTTGTCACAGTTTTGTGTTCCATGCTTAGTTAACCAGCTGACTCTGTAGCTAAATATTGTACAGACAGTCCAGCTCTGTTGAACTTCTCTTGAAATTTTATGATAATATCAATAACATTAGCACAATTAAGCAAATTTCCAAAATTGTGACTATTTTCTGAGATACAGTGCCATATGAACTTACATATGAACTTACATATGAACTTACATACTTAGGTTTTTTTTTATTTTAACGATTTTTTTATTATGCATACTGAGTTAAAGTATTCTTAATTCTAACCCGTTTAACTGGGTTGTACATCTGACAGCAAGAGTTTTTCTCACTACGAAATCAACTTTTTAGTAATCATAACACCAAAATTGTTATTCATGCAAGATGATAATGTTTCTGTTTTTCTACCTTCTCCTTCAATGACCCAGAATCACTGGTCAAACACAGGTGAGGCTCCCTCTGCCTCTTCCTCTGGATTATTTCACATATCTCTTGCCTCTGTTTCAGATGCCATTTAAAAATGGTACTTAATGCATGAGTATTTGTGTGTCTATGTGTGTAAGTCAAGTGTGTGGTTTGTGTGAGTGTGTGTGTGTGTGTGTGAAAGTTTGTTCTTTGATCTGTCTGTCATATGGTTGTACAGCTGTGAAACAACATGATTACAAAGGCCTGGCCAGATGTGCTGGCCAGCTGTCTGTGACATGGACTTGGACATGGTGTGTCTGTTTGGAGGATGAGAGGAAGCATATAGGCATGATCAGGAAAGGATCAGGTGAAATACCTTTCCTTACTGACGTATAACTCATTTTGAGTGCGTCTTAGAACCTGGCAAGAATGTGATTGCTTTATAACATTTTTGACATTCACTCCTTCCCACTTCACTCACAGTTGAGCCCACAAAGAAAGTGTTTGTGTGTTTGCAATAGAGCTGGGGAACGTTGTTGCAGTCCTTATATGGTCATGTAGTTTGGTTAGAGCGAGTGCGTTTGCTACAGAATGAATCAGAGTGCTGTTACATCAGAGATATGGGCAGGCAGGATGGATCTCTTGTATTCTATTGGAACACACATTTCCATTTGTGTGTGTGTGTGTCTGTGTGTGTGAGTGAGAGAGAAAGGGGGAGAGAGAGAGAGAGCAGTACACACACTCAGATGCCCTACTTTTCAGCAACATGGGGATGTAAGGACTATTATACTGCAGTATGTGTGGGGCAGAGACGTGGTGGGAATAGATGGACAGACAGGAGGAAGTCACTCCTATGTGCTGTTCTACTTTTCCATTGATTTTTATTTTCTCAACTGTATTGTTAATCAATAAAACATCTTACTGTAAGTATTTGGAGAGAGAGGCAGTGACACCAAAAACTTTTTTCATTTTAATGTAAAATGTTGTCAGCAGGAATCAATTTATGACAGATAAATAAGTTGTGAAAATAAGAAATTATTATGTTGAATGAAAGAGGGACAGAAAAGAAAAACAAAACTATAACACTGAGGTCATACTGCGCTTTTCATCCAGCAATTACAAGGTCAGAGAAATCTGCCAGTGAGCCATAATGCGACCCAAAGTACACCAGACTATCCACCACATATGCACATTATAAAGTAGAATAACCCAAAAATATTAAAACTAACAGGGCTCTTCAGGACTGACAAGATCTCTAAATCACAACCGATAAAATTATTTATTACATATGATTGCGTTTTGTGAAATATTTTTGTGACACAATAATACTTGTGATGAAATGTTTTTGCAGTTGACCTATAGAGCAACCAGAGGTTAGACATCTTGACCAGCAGAAAACTGCTTTCCTTAGGTTTTTGTACGAGTCATTCTGGAGGTGCTACCAGTAAAGCGACTAATTTTATTTAAATGAGTGACTTATATGGATTAGACCTGGTTAGGATGTTGTGCTGAAATGACAACGTTTTATTTTCCACGAGTGATCTTTCAGTGTTCTCAGGACTTTGATTCCCTTAAACGTTATAAGATGATCATGCAACATTCAGTCGTCACTACAAAAATATATTGACAGTGTTACAGTTATTTAATAGATGGTTAGGAAGACTAAATCAATAGTTGTGTTCTTTATTGAAAGTTATATTCCCTATTTAACTTGTAAAGTATGTGTTTTAGGTTTTTTAATCCATTTATAGGTAGATTACACTTTGTTAAGTTTCCAATTTGTAATGTTAATATCCTCTTTAGCAAGCCCCCAATCTAACTAGCTGCTAGTTTAGTGTCCTGTATCAAGAGCACCTGCAACATTGTTGCTTAGCTGGTTTTGTGTCAAAAAAATATTGTAATGGTGATTTTTCTTCTCTTCCTGTAGGAACATATCAAGGCCAATGGGTTGGTGGGATGCGGCATGGCTATGGAGTTCGTCAGAGTGTCCCATATGGCATGGCGGCCGTCATTCGCTCTCCACTCCGTACCTCCATAAACTCTCTCCGCTCCGGTTCAGAGCACAGCAATGGAACAGCGCTGCTGGACCGGAGTGGAGTGGTGGTTCCTGGTCCTCATCCTGTTCCTGGAACTCTGACGACTAGTGTGTCCATGTGCAGCACAGGCAGTAGTGGCAGCAGCCCCGCTGTGTCTCGGGGAGGTTTTGTGCTAACAGCACACAGCGAGGCTGAGCTGCTGAAGGGAAAGAGGAAAGGTGGGCTGTTCCGGAGGTCTATTCTGTCTGGGCTCAAGCTGAGGAAGTCAGAGTCTAGGAGCTCCCTCGCCTCCCAGAGGTCTAAACAGAGCTCCTTCAGAAGTGAGGCTGGAATGAGTACTGTTTCATCTGCTGCATCTGATATCAACTCTACTATCAGGTAATACAGCAGTGGAGGATGGAGGGAATGGGTTTGGCTATAGCACCACAGCAGACCTTGTCTAAAACATCTTCTAGCCTTGTCTAAAAATGTTTTCCTCAAACTGAAGTTACAGATAGATATCATGAGGATACCATGACAGGATAGTATTTTTTTTTTGTTTTGGTCCTAGGAATATTGTCTATAACACTATGTACCTTACGATCTTAATCTAATGCCAATAACTAGTGACAACAAAAGAAGTATTGTCAACCTGACTGATGCAGGTGAGAAAAGTTAAAAGCATTCAAGTATATCCAACAGATTGAACTAAATGGCAATGAAAAAATATGATTCATAAACTCGATCATGAGCTAATAAAAGTAGGTGAAAGGGTAGTGTTATTAAGTTCATGGACACTGCCCTTCTTCTGAAGGACATCAAGGCAAAAACAAGCATCTGTCCTGCTTAAGTGTCTTCAAATTGGATTGGCGTGCAGTCCTAAGTTCCCAATAGGGCAACAGGTCAGTTTCATGGTCATCTAGCCACGGTCCCGAATTAAAAGTGTCCTGTTGCTTAAGCCTGCCATCTAACTCTCCATGCTTAACTGTGTATAGTCTGTTTTAACATTTTTTGACCAATCTTAGAGGTCACACCAGCTCAGAGTCAATCATATTGTAGTTATGCTGTTGGGAGATCTTTTTTTTTTACGCAAGATAGTCAAAGTCTGTAATTAATTTATTGCTTAAATAGAAACATATTTGACTTGAATTTGGGAAATAAATCATACAATTGAATACACAAGGCTTAAAAAAATCTAAGTATGCTGGATTCAGGTGCCTCATTTTTAAGGGAACAATTACTACATGACAAGCAAGAGCAGCTCCAGATCTGTTTGAGGGTGACGTAGCTGACACAGACTTATTAAGTTGTGATGAATTGTTGGCAAGGATGAGGGAAGAGAAATGTCATTTCACTCATGTTAACCCATCCAGCGATTGCCTATCCTTGGTTAGGTTGCAGTGGCAGCAGATACAAAAATGTCCAGCTTTCTATTTGTTTTTCTATCTTTCTTACAGGATATATGCTTAAGTGGAGAGTGGATCTTCAAGTACCTTAAAAATAGTGAAGATTTTTTGGGGGCTTTCTCCATTTATTTGGTACGACTGTGGATAGAGTAGGAAATGTGGGGATCGACCTGCAATTAAGGAGTACTTTGTACTACACTGAAGCAAATAACAACTTTAAATTATATGACTGCCTTGGATTAACTTTTTATATCACTCAATGGAAGAGCTCTCATATAGTTTACCTTACAACAAACCTATTTTTGTCAAAATTATTTTTGGGATTGTTGAACAAATGATACCTTTCTACTTTCCAGTCTTGGAGATGCAGACACAGATTTGGCTGTTGCTGACGACGAGGTGGATGCCACGGCAACAGAGACCTACAGTGGAGAGTGGAAGAATGATAAGCGAAGTGGATTTGGTGTGAGTCGACGTTCTGACGGGCTGCAATATGAGGGAGAATGGCTAAGCAACAAACGCCACGGCTATGGCTGCACCACGTTTCCTGATGGCACAAAAGAGGAGGGGAAGTACAAACAAAACATCCTAGTGAGTGGCAAAAGGAAGAACCTGATTCCCCTCCGGGCCAGTAAGATCAGAGAGAAGGTTGACAGAGCTGTGGAGGGAGCTCAGAAGTCAGCTGACATTGCCCGGCAAAAGGCTGAGATTGCTCAATCCAGGTAGGGGCTCAGCGGTGGTTTGTGAATAAATTGTATGTTTTTATTTATTTTAAATCCCTCCCTTTCCTTGGTTGAATTTAAAGTCACATTCTCTGGATATCTTTTGGTATACCTTCTTGCTAGGTCACAGCAATAATCTTGAAGATTTCAGTAACAAAGACATCTGTCAAGAATATCGCTTCCCTGTGTGTCACTTTTTTAATTTAACATTTTTTTTCAAAATTTGAAACAAAGTTGTGGGATTGTCTGCATTTCCCCCCTTCCCCCAGCAATGACAAAACCCATAAGGTCCTGTTGCTGCACAAACATTTTCCGATTGTTGATATTAACTTTGACTTTGCAAGTATTTATTTTTTAAATAAGTATATGATTTTAAGTGAAAACGTCTGGATGACTGTAATGTTAAAATATAAGCCCAGTCTATTCTCTGTTTATAAAACTAACCCAGATGAATCTTTACACATTCTTTCAAACGTCTCAGCAAAACAACTCACATTACCAGCTCTCCTATAAAAACAGAGGCTTAATTTAGTTTTACATATTCTGAGGATGACCAAATTCTCTAACGCAAACTATGATTAACTCAAACTTCAAATTTTCATGATTTTGAGAAACGGTCTACCTACATTTTCATTGAGGTATCAGTTTAACTCTCTTTGTGGATGACAAATCTTTATGCAACATAACATAATTATGGTTTCATTTATTTTATTTATCAAGGGACAGTGTGCAATGACATTGATCATTTAGACAAAGAAAAATTAAAGATGGTTGCACCAGATTTAGCTTGTCGCTAATTTCCATCTGTAGTCCCACATAAAAATGACACAAGACAAACAATAAAGCTCCACTCAACAGAGGACAATAAAGAAACACACGTGACAACGCTATATAATAACATGCTGTAAACCCTATGAAACGATGTATATCCTGCTCGGTACCAAAGTTTTATTACAATATCATGTTACTATACTTGGGCCTCTGGATGAGTCCATATACTTGAAGATCTTAATGATAGAGGTGTAATTCTTTCCTTTGTGTGTGAACTTGCATTTGAGATCAAATATAAAACCAAGGTTTCCCATAGGAATCGCCTTACTATTTTATCCACTGAGAACTGGTGAACATTTTAAAATCCTCTGTTGGACTGGTGTCCATCTTCTATATCTATTTCAACTCCAAAAGTGCCAAACTCTAGGGGTGACTTCAAGCTTATCCACGCTGTTAGCCCGAGCAGTGTTATTCATGGAACCTCCTGCTTTCATTTCAGCATGCATGGTACAGTAACAGGTTAGAACAGTCACCAGTGTTAGGTAATGTTACTTTAAGAAGTAACTTGTTACATTACAAGCTTCCCCCGAATGTCTGAGCTCCTCACCCAATCTCTAAGGCTGAGCCCAGCCACCCTCTGGAGGAAACTCATTTCGGCCGCTTGTATCTCATTCTTTCGGTCACTACCCATAGCTCATGACCATAGGTGAGGGTTGGGACGAAGATCGACCGGTAAATCGAGAGCTTTACCTTCAGGCTCAGCTCCCTCTACGCCACAACGGTCCGGCACAACGCTTACATTACTGTTGACGCCGAGCCGCTCCATCCCATCCTCACTCGTGAACAAGACCCCGAGATATTTAATCTCCTTTGCTTGGGGCAAGGACTCACTCCCCACCCGGAGAGCAAACCACTGATAGCTTTTAACCTATACTGGTTAAATGGTCTAGACGGCACTGTGCCTGTACGCCTGACTTTGAGAGAATGTGCAATAACCGTCATTGCCCGGCCTCTATAACAGCCCCTCTTACAGTCCATTATCCATAAATCTGCAGCACAATATATCTTAATTTTCATTAATTCACATTTGCCTCACTCAGTGTACAACAATCAGTCAGCCTACACTGTAGATGAGCTGCTGTCCACACAGAGAATAGCTGTGTTCTTTAGATGGAGGTTGTTTCACTTATTCAGTGAGTTGTCTCTCCCTGGGTATAGGGAGATTAAGTTTCTATAGTAGATACTGTTGTAATTTAACAATGTACAACTTGCTGTCCAAAGGTTGTTTTGTGTGTTTCCAGTAGTTATACTTGTGCTACTTAATAATTACACCAGTGATTTATTGATGTGATGACTCTACACTATGATTATTTATTAGTTTATATTTTCTACATGCTGCTTGTAAAGTTGTTGGATTAGCAGAGGAAAACAAGGAACAAGAGTTTACAGCCATGCTAGTTTTGTGAGGGGATCCCTGACTATTAATTTAGCCTGTAGGACCAGAAGTTGTGATGCCCTTAATATTTAGCAGCCGTTTTCAGACAGTGTAGTTGTAAGACGTATTTAAATCCATACGCAGAACATTTCTTACCTAGATCCACCAGCAGCATTGCCCAGGGCAGGATAGCTTCTTCTTCTGTGTGTCTCAGAGCAGCAGGGATATTTACTTGTGGAGCAACTGGAGAATCCTCACAGCAGAAAGACTGTAAAAGACTTTGCTGCAGATATTCTTGAATCTTAATGACAAAACGGTTGTAATCAGGATCAAGGATAGCGTGACTCTGTGTCCAAGATCTGAGAACGATCATTTTCTAAATTTCAATAGTTAATAGTTAATTTGTATTTTTGCCTTAAATTGAGAGTACTTTACTTGCTGTTTGAATTCAACCCTGCTTTTATTTAGAAATAAAGTATCACTGGAATCACTGGTAAAAAAAAAAAAAAAAAGGTGAGACCAGAAGAAGACATGAGTGGGACATGAAGTGTGGGAGGGAAGAGAGAGAGTGGGAGATAAATTGAGAGAGGTGGACTGAGTAAAAGAAAGCAGAAGAGACGAAGGGTGTATTTCCTGTTTTATTTTATTGTGAGCTCCAAGGTAAAGACACACTTTGCCTTGCAAGAGTGGGTTTGCAATGGAATAATCAACAACTTTGAATGTAAGTCTTTTCTCAAAATGTCTGTCATGTGAGACGTAAAGACAGGCTTCCTCTCTCTCCTCACATCTTACCTCCCACACAACCACCAGCCATGCACTCACACACACAGTGGTGTTGAGTACACTGTTGGTCTGGCATAGCAGTACTGGCATAGAGTGCAGAGGGGCAAATAGAAACTTAGAGGCAAAGAGCTTAAAAATCCATAGTCATCAATGTGCATCTCTGCATCAAGACTGTTAGCACTTCCAGAAAAGAAAAGAAAAGGGAGGGACAAAGAACGTTGCCCTTCTTAAGAGTGAAAGACTGGCTAAAATAGAATGAAATGAAAGATAGCAACAAAGACAAAAGGAGGATCGTTGCATGGGAGATTTAAAAACAAGGTTAAAGAGAAGCAGTTATCAGTATAATAAACAGTGGCAAGGAGATACATTTTTCAATAGCACATTTTAAGCAACAAATAACAGTTTCTACAGATAGATGAATCAATATCACCTCTTACAGCCCAGTAAATAAATAGTTTTAGATAATGTGTGAGATAACTGAGACACAAGAGCCACGCTTAATCACTGCTTACATCTCTGCAACAAATGAATTTGGTGTTTTTATAGTTGATGGCTGTAAGGAAAAATGTACCAAGTACGTTGTAGCAGCTATGATCATTAATACCAAAAAGTAAAAACTTACAGCAGCTTATATATATTTTGAGTGAAGTGAATACAATTTAAATGTAGTCTAATTATCAGGCTACTTCCATACTAAACTGGCTATTTTTAAATGAAATGTAAAATGGATATGTGTTGACACAACCATTTGGGGGAAAAACAATTCTTTGTCTCCACCTGCTTTCTGATTAACAATATTTTTTTTCTAGTCAAAGTCAGAGATTCAGGTAACAGCTCTCATTAACACATTTTTTGCAGGTAATACTTTTATATTATGTCCCTATTTTCTTTCCCAGTGAAACATAAATGCTGATCAAATCACAGTTTTTTTTATTTGCAAAGTCATATGGCAAAATACACAAATAACCCAGTATTAATAAAGTATTTCACATTCAGATACAGAACAACATCTATGTTCTGTAAATAATTATTGACAAGTTTTAAAGACAAGTTGTGTTTGTGTTTCTCCCTTGGAAGATAGTTAGTAGGGTATGAGACCCTAACCCAGGGGTCTCCAACTTCTTTTATTCTGACAGGTTCTTTGGAAAAAAAGTTACATTTGTAGAGACTTTATTTACATTATCGTAATCTTAAGTGACATCACCCATTGGTTTCTGAAGCAGCATTTTGAAACCCAGTTACAGTGTTCGCCATATTGGAAATGCTGTCTCAGACTAACTTTCAGTCAGCCTAGTAACAGGCAAAGAGCTGAAGCTGAGGCGAGCTACAATAAGCCCGTCTGTAAGTAAAATCAGCCACGCCCCTTATAAATATTAACTTTTAATCTCCATTAAATCAAAACGGATAAACAGAGCTGAGCATATGTCCATTAATCCCTTCACCGTTAATTATCTTTGTTAATCTTAATAGATTTTTAAGGTGGTCATTTATTTAAAAAGATTATAAACGGAAAATTTAACTTCTGTTTTTGGTTTCCATAAACGTTATTTTTGTACGTTATTACTCCACTCAGCTGACAGAATCAATCTGTGGATCTTTATGGATGTAAGGTAGACAATAAGAAAATTGAATCATAAAGCTTGTTTGTGTGTTGGTGGCCTGACAGATGTGTAGATTGTGGATCTTGAAATAGTTTAAATCACAGGAATCACAGGACTCAGATCTTGCTAGCGATGTCCAGCGTGAGTGATACACACAGAATATACACAGAACAGCAGTTGTTTAAATGACGGGATAATGAGGTGGCCCTCAGGGAAGGTGATATATGAAAAAAAGTTTCTATTACTTTTACATGTTAAATACAGGAACATGTTATTAATGAGTTTGAGCTCTAATGACTTTTTTTTCATCATTGTGGCCTCTTTAGAACTCCATCATATTTACATAAAAGAGATGGTGTTTTTGTTGTTAATTGATGACAATTGGTTAACGTTCATTTTAACATTTGTCTAATATTAACAGAATTAACTGATTAACTGATCTCGAATTTAACGTCTTTGTCAATGGATTAACACTTAACAAAGTAAAATCTTTGATTAACTTCTCACCACTGCGGAAAGTTGAAGACGTTAGCTATTCAGACCAAAATCGTATTTCGTAGCAGGCTGTGAGCATGTTGATTTCTGCTGTCCAAATGAACATTTTAATATGGGGTGTGTATGTGACTTCTGGGTCTTCTGGGGCCAGCCTCAAGTGGACAGTCAAGGAACTGCATTTTTTTACAATGACTTCTTGCACTTTGTTATGCGTGCAACTTGAAATGATGCTGTCATTGCCGTATTGGCCTTTTTCACTGGTTCGGTATAGAATGTGCTGTTTTTCAGTGTATTTTCCAGCTAACTCGCCTTTTTAGTCGTTTTGTTTTGCATGCTGCTGAGTCCTGTGCAAAGTTACTATGGTTGGACTTGTAAATTGTGACACTCCATGTTACTTCCTTTGCTGACTGAAATGCTGGTGCCACAGATAAGGATCACACACCTTTCCTTCCCACCTGTGAATAAAAACTGGTTTTCTGAATCCCCATGGAAATAGTATGTTTTTTGCATTTTATTATATGGCCACCTTTGATGTGTCATAAATCTGGCTAAACAGGCTTGCTAATAGCATCAACTCCTCACTTTAACTCAACTAGTCAAGTTTAGCTGATACAGCCTGCAGATTAAGGATACTGCTACTTTGCTGTGATTGGTCAGGTTCAGGCGTTGACCAAATTGACAAAAGCGTCACGTTGTTTTATGAATAGCTGATTTGCCTTTCCTATTATTTTATAATAGAGGTAAGACATCTGTGTATTTGATTGTTGGATTTATGTATTAAAGTCTACATATCTGCTTTCCTGTCTTCTGTTTGACAGGACGGCTCATGCACAGGGTAAAGCGGAGGCAGCAGTAGGAGCAGCTCAAAAGGCCCAAGAGGAGAGTCGCATTGCAAGGGTTACTGCCAAACAATTTTCTCCTTCCTTCCAGCACCCAGGAAATGGTGAGCAAACACACACTAAGAAATTATACATATTTGCTCATATGCAGTACATATTCATGATCTGAAAACCCAGTGATAATAATAAAGTGCCTGTTTACACCTGCATGAACAATGAAACTCAAGTTTTTATCTGTATATGTGTGTGGGTTGATGAAAAAGGTCAGTGTACACCACCTTCCAGCTTTGAGTTTCTGGCCCTGTCATTCAAACCTATACAGCACTGCAGGTGGCCTACCCACTCAGCACAGTGATGCACACACACACGCACGCACGCACGCACGCACGCACGCACGCACGCACGCACGCACGCACGCACGCACACACACACACACACACACACTGCCATTTCAAGGCATGATATTTACATCCCTGTGACGTTTCACCTTCAATCAGAATGTCCCAGAACGTAATAGGGGGACAAAGTGATCCTCCCTCTGTACCATCTTCAGAGGTAGTAACAAAGGGGTTACAGGGCTGAGACGGGATCAGCTGAGCCAGCAGGGGAGCGTAGCATTATGTGTTTGTGCATGTCTCATTGTGTTTATGTGGAGCTCCCGCTGTGCCGTTCTTTTGCAGTGTGAATTCGCAGACTGGGACAAGAATATTAAGCCTTTACGGAATCAATTTGAATGTACAAAGATGTAATGGGCTCATGGCATGTACAGTATGTGAACCCCAGATACAGCTATAGATGATGGTGATTAGGTTTTTAATGGGCAGGAATAAATCAGAACTTTTAAAGTTAGAATAAATCAATGTGCATTCTAATTAAAAGGATTCTTGGCCTGGGACAAAATCTGTGATTTTATCAGCTGCCTCAGAGTTGGTGATTGTCACTTGTTCTACAGCTTCAATAACTTTTAACTTGGGCACTTGTTTTAGAAAACTCAATCTCTAATTATGTCTGTTATCTTTCTGATGTCATCTGTCTTGTGTAGGCATGGAGGTCCAGCGTCCCAAACGTCAGGTGTCCAGTGAGGTTGAGGGTGAAGGGTTGTCAAGTAGCGCTGGCACCGCAGACAGCCCAGACCTCTATGTAAAAAGCACAGGCTCAGACGATCCCTCTAATGACGCTGCCACGCCTGACCTCAGTCCTCCTTCTTCCTCACCCCCCCACACCCCTCCTCCCCCTGCTCGGCCATCACAGCGCAGCAAGAGTGCCCGCTTCCACCGACAAAGCGCTGTGGACCACACTGGGGGGGCAAGGGATGCGGGAGAGAGGGCTGAAAAAAGTGGAGGGGTGGGGCAGACAGAGATCCAGGTGTTGATGGAGGGAGGAAGTGGGGGAGGTGATGAGGGAGGAGGAAGGAAAGGGGAGTATCAACGGGCCAACACGTGGAATGAGGACAATAGAAGAGGGATGTTTTCAAAAACAGGTGGGGTCAGTGGACGAGGAGCAAGCCGGATCAACGGCCACAAACACAGCTCCTCCAATCACAAGTCCCGGGAGCATGGGTCATCCAATCATAGACAGACCAGAAGGGACAAGTGGACAGAGTCGTCCTCTTCTGCCTCTTGGACGTCAGGGCACAGGGGTGTGCACAGCAGGGGAGGTCGACTGCTTGAGCAGGATGAGGAAAAAATTAGCAATTATGAAATGGAGATGAAGCCTTTACAGCCTAGAGACTCAGCTACCCACAAGCCCCATGGGCATGGGGAAGAGAGGCATGGGCACAGTCGTCTTCAAGGAGAGGGGCGCTCGCACACTGTGCAAAGACAAAGGCATAAGAACCGAGATGTGAAGGAGAGGAGGGAAGGGAGAGAGGGGAAAGAGGGGCAGGAGGGGAGTAAAGACTCAGTGCACAAGCTGGACAGAGGGGGGGAAAAGATGGAATCGCAGCCTCTACGACGGGATCTTACACTCTCTCCTCCTCTGAAGTCCTCCCCCATCACACCAGAGCAACAGGACCACAGCCTTCTGCAAAAAAAAAGCAACTCGGTAAGACAACTAACAGTCTAACACCATTCTGTTACAGATGCAACATTATGACTGGGATATATTAAAAATAGCACTTTAAAATGACCTTCAGATCCTATTTGCGGTCAAACATCGAAAACTACAAGTAACATGAGCTGAACTTTAGGAAAAAAAACTATCACTGAAACATGTAAGCTCTAAGCACATCCTGTAAACACAAAATGCAACAACTCAGAAATCTTATTATGAACATTACCTGGTTGAAATGATATTAGGTATTGGTGTAATGTTTAGGGGGCGCTGGGCATGGCATTAGTAGGGTAAAAATTGTCTTTACTCTGCTATAAGATGTCCTTCAGTTGAACACTGTTTCCATGTCAGCTGCAGCGCTGACGTTTAGTCTAACACAAGGTCAACATATCTGTCGGATTAAAAAGCTCCTAAACATCAAGTTTGAGTAGTTCTTTAAGTTTATTATGTCAGCCAAAATATAATAAAAGAGTAACCAAATATTTTTACTGTAGAGAGTGTTTGTTCCATCTATTATCTGATGGGGTTCTAAAATGAATTTCATGGGCAAATACGTTCTGTGTAGTATTTTATCATCTTTCATGGTATTCTCTGGAGCTTACTTTAATCTGTCTTTATTACTTACAGCTCTAATCTGTGTTGTTTTTACCCACATCAGGGGCAAAGTTAAGAACGAGCATTTGACATAAGCCATTTTTACACATGAACTGCAGATTATGTCTTACAAATCAGGTTTGAGTATTACCTGGAGTAACCCTTTCACACACTTAGTGACCAGCTGGAGAATATCAGTTCCTGACACATCCTCAGCTACTGTGAATATGCCTTTTACATTTCACTAAACTTAGGGTTGGCCCTCTGGGAAAGAATGGAAGACGAGGAGAAAGAAATGTTTATAATGATGACGGTTTTCTTCAAATATATCAATACAACATGTTCTTGTTTGAAGAGCAAATAAGAATGAAAGTGCCAAAATGAATATACAGGCAATCACAAATGAATATGAAGCAGCTAAACATGTGTAATATCAACATCATGAAACATGAACAAGGCTTTTTTGCAGAACAATGAACAGCTAATGTTAGCCATATTGAGTTAGCAAAGAAAAGTTGTTAGGTGGCAAGTATCTTCTACCCAGAGCCCCCTCAACAGGGCCCTAAAAAAGTTATATCTGGAAACATAGTGTGTTCCGTTGCACTGAAAAAGGTGTGCATGCTTAACCGCATCTTGATTGACCTGATGCTGGTTTAAGTGTTCAGGCTGCCCCGAAGGATAGACTTCGCCTTCTAATTGCCACTTGCCACCCTGTTATCAGACTTCTGAACATGTATTTGTTACTTTTGGCTTTGACTTTCCTTGGTTTATGAATGGCGCAATCTCTTGCCCAGGATGGTAGCTTGTGAAAGCTCAGAGTGCTGACCGAGTTATGTTATTTTCTGCACATGGCACCAATAGGACTGATCTGAGACCTTCTATCTTCTGGTTAAACCAACAGATGTCCCTCTGTGAGCTCACCATCCATTTTTTTTTTCACCTTTCTTAAATTTCCTTAAGCTAAGCCCAGCTCAAGGTTGAATTAGGTCTAGCAGGTGGGAGGGCAAGCTAAGCTCTGGTGGAAGCCCCGCCATATCAACCTAAAACTGAACAATACTATTTCAGTGTTGAGTTTTAGAATTTCTCCAATCCGGACAATCAGTAATTGCAAGTTAAATTTGTTAGAAGAAATGAATTAAAATAATGAATCTTACTTTAACATTACAATAGATTGTTGTATATACTATATACAGTTTATATTTTAAGACCTTACCTTATTTAACCTTTATTTAACCAGGTAATTAACCCATTGAGATCAAGATCTATTTCACAAGGGTATGAGGGCAGCAGAACACGTCATAATAAATATTACATGATGACCTTACCATAATGATACATGCTAAATTGATGTCTGATTGAAAACCCATAAACATAAACACTTTTCCTGTAGAGTTTATGATTAGATATAGATAGAATCTTTATTATCATTGTATACAAGGACACAACGAAACTTCGTTAGCATCAATCCTAAACAGCAGCGTTTTACAAAAACAAAAATATATTTGTGGTGATATCAAAGAGAAATATGCAAAAAGTGGCCAGAGCAATTGCTTTTCAGTGAATGAATGATAATAATAATAAATAAATAGACAGTTGTGGTGACTGAAAGAATATATACAGTTATTATTTTGCAGTGACTGATTAGGTAAACAAATATATATATAGAGAGAGCTATATAGTGCAAATAAGTGAAGTTATAGTGCAGTGAAAGAGTATATACAGTTATTATTGTGCAGTGACTGGATGAGTAAATAAACAGTTTTAGTGCAATGAATGAATAAATAAATAGACAGTTAAAGTTGAAGTTACATTAACACTGCATGATGTGTCATTATAATGCTTCTTAGATATATACAGTACAGGCTTTGTCTGACCTGAGAATTTTTAGCTTATCAAACAACACCAGATAGTCTCAGGACAGATAGGACAGACAACTGATCACTTACAGTCAGCGTAATTGATCTTTGTGTTATTGATTCCAACATACAATCAATTAAGTTATGGCTTAATGCCTGCACAAATATGTTTACTTTGATATTTGTAGATTTGTATCCAATAATGATTAAAACTGTTGTATTGATTTTCATAATGAACAAAAACAGCCTTCACCAAACTCTTTCTGTTGATTTTGGTGTTTGATAGAAAATCCCTAAAAGGCCCCAGATCTAAAGTACACAGAATCTACTCGCTAAACATAAATACCAAGTGCAGATACTGTCACATAGTTTGTACATGAATACCCCTCGAAATTTCTTAAGCCTGCATTAATTATAATAATTCATTATTTTGTTCTATCCATAGTCAATGCTTCGCCTGCTGTCTGCAGGGCTATTTCAAGAGGAGTTTGTAGAAGAGGACATACTTTACTGCTTGGGCACTCTTTTGTATGCAGCCCCTCACTCCGACAGCTCTCCATCCGTACATGGGCATAGGTTCTTGTTTGTGCATGTGTAGGTAATTCTAGTCCATGTGTGTGTAGCATGTTCGAAAACAAAGAGTAAAAACTGAATTTGCTGTCAGGGATTAATAAAGTAAAAGAGAATATGGCTGCTTCTGGAAACTAGTCTGATGAGAGCACTGAGACTTCAAATGTCAAACTTGCAGGCTATAAAACCTGAAAAAAGTTGGTTTCATCACCATACAGTCCAATTTTAGTTTTTTTCAGTTGTCATTTAATCCACTGGTAATAATAAGCTTTTGATAATTTGCCACTTTGAACAGTTGGAGCCCCTGCATATCTCTTATTGGCCTAAATATCCACTCTCCATAGCAGCTGTATGGTGCATTTGTCATATCCGTCATGTCACTGCCACACATTGATTTGACTAAAAGGATTTGTTGCTCACTGTCATGAGGATACATTCCATCCCCAGTGACATAACACACTGTTATCCCACATATTAAGATAATCCTGGGGAGATGCACAAGGGTTAACCTCATGAAATAAAGATTTTTGGTACTTTGAGCTAGCAGGAGGATTATGCTGTTATAATAGAATTTTTTTGGCTATGTCTTGATTTGGGCTGGTGGACAGACACGACCAAGCTAATCCTGGATGATAATATGGTCACAGCAGTCGTGAACGATATCAACAGACATGCACTGAGCACATTATGAGTACAAACTCTCTTGCTCTTAAACATACACATGCACGCACACACACACACACACACACCCTGACGGACCCATACAGACCAATATACATGCAAGGAGAGAACCCCAGCAGTCCTTTCTGCACCTTAGTAACAGCAGACTGGCAAACTAGTCCCATCCTCTCAGAAGGCCCCCTATTGGTTAACCAGTGCTCTGTTGCTAGGGAACAGCTTATGCCTTGCTTCAATGGTGGCCAATCAGTGGGCGTGTGTCAGTGAAAGGGGGGTGGAGGGTGGTTGGAGGTGGGGTGTATGTGCTTGTGTGTTTGCAGCAGATTTGTGTTAGGCAGGTTCACAGCATACACAGATACTATCACACTAAGATGATTACACAAAGAGAATGCTGCTTCTGACATACAGATATATTCAGCAAAACACACACAGGAATCTTTTTATCAATCAACTTCACATTTTACTGATGTGGTGGTTTGGCAAGTGCACCATATACCAAAAAAACATGCGTCTCTGCTCCTTCATCCTATAGAGTACTTCTGCACCAAAATAGTTGAACATGCAAAGACATCAGTCATCATCATGGAACATGGAAATTAACCTCTCTTATCCCAAAGGCACTTATTTACAATAACAACACTTTAATAAGATGTGTCCCCAGAGGATTTCGCTCACATGACCAGAACACTATTTTTGACAAATGACTGTGAAGGTAAAGGAAGAATATTATATTGGTATTAAACAAACACATAAGCAGATAAAGAATTATGATCTCAAAATAAAATCCAATGTTTTGCAAGAAAATACCATGAGATTTTAATGCCAACAGCTCTAGATAGACAGTAAAACTAAAGCTAAAGATTCAGATTCAGATTACTTTATTAATCCCAGAAATTCAGCAATTCAGTTTCACAGCCTAATAATTCATTAAGGTAGGCTGCTGGGTTGCACACTGTGGAGCGTCCCGTGCAGAGTTGAATAAACAGTGTTGGCAGACGCAAATCTTTAAATTGTATTTGAAATGGTTAATATTTTTTATGTTTGAATTTAGAGTCGTCTGAACGACAGTAGTCCAAAAATGGAGCTTTCGAGCAAAATAATTTGAGCACTGCACCTCCAGTATAGAGCCTGCGTAGCTTATTATACAAATTGCATGCTTATACTTCAACAGCAGTATTTCTACTGACTATGTGCTAAGCCCATAAAACTAGGACAAACTTTCTGAGTCATTTTGAAGGCAAAATAACTCACACTAAAACAGTTAGTGATGTATCACTTTCTAAAGGTAAACAAGCAATAATCATAATGTTTATCTGCAATCACTTCTGGGTACAAAACCCCAGTAGCTGATACAAGAAATTCAACAGAATAAGGAAAGGGGAGCAATTAAGGGAAAAAAGAGAAAATGGTTACACCTTGTTTCGTTACACCTGCATGTTTCAATTGTGACCTGCAGATATAAACTAGCTCTAAGCTAACTCTGGTACAATGCATCAAATAGCGACATATATGTTTCATATTGTAGTACATCTAATAAAAATTAAATGAATTGAGTTGAGCTTAAATAACACTTTTATTCTGACTACTCAAAGAGGTATAAAGTATAACAGTATGTCACTAAGTAAAGTTGATTTTGGTAATGCTTAAATACTGAGCTATGTGACGGTGAGTCCAATCTGTGGCAAGGTGACTTTGTTCGGTATATGCGGTATTTCAATGGCTGGAAAGAAACAGCATAGCACACAGTAAAAAAATTAGATAGGCGAGGCCACCATGTTGAACTGGTATATTTTACACATTATAACATAACATACACAAAGCAACTTAAAGCTACATTGTGCATATTTTGGACCCTAAAATGACAGCTTCAAATGTATTTTGATGGTACATTCACTTGAGATACAGGAGAATTTTCCCTTTTTTAATACCAGCTCCATGTTCTTGCATAAATCAATGAACCATGTGATATCACAGCCTTTTACCCTGAATTTTTTGAAAGCAACATGTTTATCAATAATACTCTCACAAATCCATCATAAGAATTATTCCATGCACTCTCAACAACATCAATAAAATCCCAGTCAAAGGCAAAGAGATCATGAAGAAATCCTTGTTGTACAAAACGCTTCATGTTTCTTATTATAATAATCTGTGGTTTGGATTTGGTTATTAGGGTTTCACACTGGCGCATTAACACAATGGTCACTGATATCATTGATATCAGCAAAGATGGACACAGGAAAATAATTATGAGGAACATAAGTTAAAGTAATATCAATCAATGATGACTTATCAAGACATTTTAAGATTGGGTCGAGTGGGCTTATCAACAACCTTGAAAAGATTCATTGTCACAGCGTGCCTTAAAATCTTCAGACACTTGAGTCAACTAGTTCCAATTAAAATCATCAATAAGAAAAATGTCATTATTATTTAATTCTGGTATGACGTTCATTAAGGAGGGAAGTACGTCACTGACTGCTGAGGGTGTTCTATAACAGCAACAGTAATGTGCAGCCTTTTGAAACCTCAAGATCAAGAGCCAGGAATTCAAATTGCGAGTATACTTCAAATTTTGCCACCAAATGACAGTATGGGCACACTGTGGTTTTTCCATTGATGTTGTATTTCAAAGAAAAATGTTTCAATGAGAATGCTTCATTGAACAAAACTAGATTATATTGCTTAAGTCTGGGGCAGACCATCACAAATATCAATGTAATACTGTAGAAAATGCTAAATGAATTGCATTACCTTTTCTATTTAGTATGTTCTTCTGTGCTCTTATGTTGATATTGTGATTCTTTTAAACTACACATTGCATTGATATAAAGGCAAATATTATTGTTAAAGCAATGTATAGCACCCTCTATTGCTTCGTCAGCCACTACTGTGTGTTTGTTTAGTGTCACATCTTGCCTCAGGAGGCCACCCCTACCGTCTGAAAAGGGATAATCTCCCCATGTGAGGTGCATATGTGAACAGCCAGGTCAGGAGAATTTCAGCTGCAGTCCTCCTCAAATAATCTAGGAGTGCATACATGTGAAAACAGCTGTAGTTGAATTGAAAGCTCAGCCAATAGGCTGCTGGGCGGTAGCTTTAAATTAAGTGAAAATCTGAGGAGGAAACAAAAAAAAGTGTATTTTTTGTTGAACATCCTTTTTTACATTAAAGACAAATATCCTGTCACTTGGATGCAACAGCTTCTGTGTAATGAATTGATACAACATGCAAGATCATTAAGTTATTAACAAACCACTTAGAAGACCAGAAACATCATTGAAAAAATGACATAAAATCAATATAAATACCTTGTTCAGGAATTGTATGCTACAGCTCATGGGTGCTTTATGTATTACTATTACATGTATTACTAAACAGATATAAAGAGGTTAACGCTCAGAGGACTTATGACACAGGTCCATGAAATACCTGTCGCCAGAGTGTTCAGCATAGTTTTCTGAATCAATGATAATATTTACCAAGAGTGGCCAGGTGGCCTTCACCCATAAGACACAGAATGTAAGCAGACATCCTCTGAAGTGTCATCTGGGAAGACACTGCCTTCCCACCAGCTCCAGGCTGCTGATCTGCAGCAGTGCTTGACCTCTGACCTCACTCTGTCAGAAAGAGCAGGTTGCCCTGTGACATCAACACAGGCTGGTATTATTTGTCTTGGATGCATGTTGCTCCTCCATCCGTTACATTGAATACATGTCCTCATCTTCACGCAGTCAATGTGCAGTTGACATGAACTGCTGATTTAACACAGTATAAAACTGCAATTATCATTTTTCTGTAATAACATACATATTCTTTATGTAATGTTTTCCGATAACAGCAACAGAATATGATCCTAACAAAGGCAATTTTTTTGCAATAATATCCTATTTCATGGTCTTAGGGTGTTGAGTGAGATAGTAGGCCTTCATTTACTGGTTTTCTCCCCATTTATCTCATTGCCTCCTCTGAGTATCCATGCAGACAATATGTCCAAGTTGTGTTCCTCAAACCTTATAGGTCTTAAAGGCTCAAATATGGGACAGGTTTAATTCACCCTGTACTTTCCCCTTTAAAGCCCTTTATCCATCAGTTTGTATCCCTCACGTTGCTTTGCTCATTAACAACTGTAACAAAAATATTCTAGATTCTCGGATCAATTCCTGTTGTTGTAGATTATCAATTTTTGCCAAAGCAATACCTCATTTGTCTTTCTGATTTGAATGAAGTGTTTTGTAAACAACAGTGTTATTTCAGTGTGTCCTCGTCACTTTTAGACTTTTGCCATGTGTTCTTTGAACCCACAAAAGCTGAAGTACATCGCATCTCCAATAACTTCAAAAAATATTCTTATATAATAAAGACTTGATTCTGAACAGGTCCTACTTACAATGACTTTCTGACATTGAACAGGTTAAATAGGAATGTGCTTACTTCTAGCTCCCTTACTAGCAATTGTGGCTCGTCTTCAACTTAAATACTAATGTCATTTTGTTGTCACAGTTTTGTTGTTATTTTTTGTAACAGTGAAAGTTTTTATAATCATGCTTTGAAAAAGTACAATACAAGTTTTCTAACCTACTTGCTTCTAGCTTTAGAGGAATATGGACTAGTTGAAGTCGGGTAGGGTGATTTATAAAAATGTACAATAATTTAAAAAAAGCTGGGCTTACTTTAGATACCGTATCTCAAGAGAACATGAACCAACCTGTTGCAGAAATATGGAAGCAAAGCTCCCCAAAGTATATTTTTTATTTATATATCATTACACAGCAGAACTTCAGACTAAATAAAGTAAATAAGTATTTAATACAGAAGAATATTTCTGTTATTTGGAAATGTTTAATTTTTATATTTTTACTTCACGTTCATATTAAGTAAATTTGCAATTGTGCATTTAGTTAGAAACTGAAGGGATGGATATAACTGTATATCAGCATGGTTATAATGACTGTGTGAAAACAGCCTTGTGTGTGAGCTTTGTGTCTTATTATTAACACTTCCCTTTCTCCTCTCCCCCTCCTTTCTCTCTCTCTCTCCCACACAGGCCTACAGCTCTATCCTGGTTGTCATGGTGATTCTGCTCAACATTGGAGTGGCTATTTTATTTATTCACTTTTTTATTTAACAACAGCGCCCCTTTCAGAGTCAGCCAATCTACATTCCAACACTAAAGAGCATGAGTACCGATAATACGATACAATCTGCTGCCCCTATACTTTGTTGGCTGATGGAAGGCTAGGGCTCTGCCATTACTTAAGATAGCTAGCCCTGGCTAACATCTGCAAAAGTTGATCCTCTTTGGAAAATGAGTTGCTGAAGTAAATAGACCAAATGAATTAGTGAAAGAGTGGGGAAGCAGCCCAGTGGGACTAAGGGGAGATAATATGGCACATAATTTGGAGCGAGCTTGAATTATTCACTTACTATACACTTAAATGGGCTGAACTGGTCTGATTCCCAGGCCACAAAAGCCAAACTGGGATTACAGCAAAACATCAACTTCAACTGTTGGCAGACAGGACTGACAAGACAGACTTCCATATTCAACTATGTTTCATCAGATTTGTAACCTATAATTTATTTATTACTACTTTCTCTCATGTACAATATGTTGATGGATATATTCTTTATTTTGTGCCCCTCCTATTTTAACTCCAACTTTTGGTTCTTCCACCTGCCCTTGGAATGTTACTGATATCTCAAGGTGTGTTTTTGTGTATCTGTGAAAGAATCAGGGGCTAAGATACCTACACACATATACACACAAACACACACACACATACATACAACCCATTCACACACACACACACACACACACACACACACGCACACTGTCCCCACTCTGATGTCTGTTTCATCTCACTCTTCATCTTGTGCTGGGAACCAGAATGTGTGAGTGTGAAGAAATGAGAGCAAACTAAGCGCATCGCTACATACTGTATACTGTAATGTTTTTGAAGTGTAAATGGGTTTTCATGAGAATTTTCCTACTTAATTCAGTGTCAGTGTCTTTTCAGAAATGTGTGTGTATGTATGTGAATTTCTGCTCGGGCTTAAAGTAGCTCAGTGGCTTTTTCCACTGCTCATAAACTATAGATCTCATAGATCTTTGTTAAGATACAGCCACTGCTTATCCACATCTAGCCACATATTTTTGTCCCCTCTTCCTACACAGTTCGACCCCCACACAAACCAGTCAGAGGATGGAGCTTCCTCTTAGTTGGTGAAACTTCAAGACAAACAATTCTTGGCAAAGCCCAGGGCTAACTGTATTACTAACAGATGTATTTACAGGCTATACTGCATTCACTAAAGTGAAGTCTGCATATAAAGCACCCGAAATTTGGCTTCAAATACAACATCATAATGGTAAATTCATGCCTCCCAAAGCCTTCCTCGAAACTTAAACTGAAGGCAACAAGAAGTATTTCATCATACAATTGCAATATATATGAACAATTAATAGTAGCAACTGCCTTGCTTTTTTTTTTTTTTTTTTTTAGCTTAAACTAATAAAAATACAAAAACGCATGCATATGTATTTAAGTCTTATGGTTATGCGTTGACTCTCAAACTGACAAGATCTTCAGAATAACATGTGCATGTCAAATTTTGATAGAAGTTTCTGCAGAAAATTGTATTTGGCACATAAAGCCAGAATAAAACAACCGCCAAAAATGTCTAAAATGGACTTTCGTGAATCTTGGGTTGAATAAAATGAATTGAAGCCTTTTTGTTTAGTTAGGTGATACTCACACAGCCCAAGAAGAACTCACTATTTGCAAAGATTGTGTAAAGAAAGATGCAAGTGTGTCATAAGTTTTGAAAACAGTGGCCACTATAGAAGTCAGGATTTTACTTTGCCATTCCTCAGCCTTTACTCCAGATCTCCATCATTGCAAAACTGTCACTAACAAACAGTCAGACTAAGGTAAAGTCAGATATACCAGTCACAATTTGTCCGTTTTTTACAGATTTGTGAAACTGTGTGTGTATGTGTGGGTGTGTGTGATGTGGATTGCATGTTTGCACATGAACGCTTATCAGAGTGGTCGAACATGTGTATGCATTGCCTCCTTCCGCTTGATAGGATGGGATGGCTGAGCCTGGTTCCATCAGTAACAACTTCCAGGGGGCAGAGAGACTCGCTGTTGTTTTTTCTGTCAGACAGCGTTTCTCAAAATAAGGATTGGAACTCAAACTCAGCAGTAGGCTTATTGCTGGTGTTTACCAACATTATTACAAGAGAACCATCTAATGTGCCTGCACCCGAGAGGCAGAACAATACATTTTAATTTCATTTTGGTCCCAGACTGAAGCCCTGCTGTATGTCATCAGCCTGGTGACGATGCCCTGCGCCACCCTGTTAGTCCGCAGCATGCTACAGCATGCCAAGCTCTCTCTATAGTTTGACTCTCCTTTCTTTCTTTCTTTCTTTCTTTCTTTCTTTCTTTCTTTCGTTCTTTCTTTATGTTTCTGGGAATACTCTGTTTTGTTTTTGAGTAATGTGGAGAAAATAATGAAAGTGTTTGAAAGAAAATTATTCTGGGCCCTTGTCTTTCTTTTTCAGTGCATTGCCATGTTGTGTTTTCATACAATTTGTTTGTGCTATCTGTGTAAGGTAGCATCCTTGATGCAGAGAGGGAGCTGTACTGGCCTGGTTAAGAGGGAGGGGTATGGTTACTATAGCAACCTTAACCGAATTTTCCTCCGTCAGCAAAGGGACGGGTTGTGTGTATTGAGGCGGGGCTTACCTCCAAAAATCAATGTTCTCCATAGAAGTAGGATAAAACAAGGCTGTATGAGGCAGAGATGGGAAGAGCGAGAAAACATAGATCTGATTCTGCGGAGTTAGCCTGCGTTTAGTCAAACTGATGAAAAACATGTTTTCAGATGTTTTTTTCCTTGTCATGTAATGAACAGCCTACTTCATCAGCACATCAATAGCCTAAGCCTAAAAGCAAGTGTGCTGCTGCAACATGGGCTTATGGCGCCATCGTCTGGTCCTAGTTATAAACTACTTAGAAACATCACCAAGACGCTTTACTCGGTGACATAGAAGAATAACAGTCCATAAGATGAAACTTTAAATGTAGCCTAATAGGGAAAACTCCTACAACCTTCGTCATTGGCAAGATCACCTAATCTAGTAGCCTAATCGACATCCTTTAGTAAACTACTGCAATGATATTATGCACAGTATAAATGATGGATTCCTTATTCGGGAATTTATCAACTTCATTAGTTGCAGTAGCCCACTGAAGCCTTTTCAAACAGAGTAACCAAGCTTGCTCCTACAACTCAAAGGAAAACTATAGCCTATAGGATAATAAAAAGATGAGTTGGGAGGAGGGGTTGCCCGTAATTTAATAAATTGTGAGGATTTATAGCAAGTAGGCTAAATCCACAGCATCAATTTCAAGTTTCTTCTTTTAAAAAAAAAAAAAAACAACAACTTTATTGCAGGCTGTTTTACTTCATTACAAGTTGTCATATTTCATCACAAATTTGTTCATCCTGGCACATTATTTAAAACATACAAGAATACATACGAGAATACAACATGAAATGAAATAAAAATAGATAAAAATCCAAAGAAAAGGTACGAAGAGAGAAAAGATAATTAAATTAAGATTTAGAGAAGAAAAAAATAATGCTAATAATAAGAAAAATAAATATATATATATATTAATACAATTATAAATAGAATAGGGCGGGGGGGTTGTTCCTTCACTACTCTCTTAATATAATATAATTTAATTTACGTTTACCTGTTATTATTCCACTTTATCTGTGTCCTTTATCCATTTACTCCAGTAACACATGAATCCATCTTCTCTGTTACATTTTAAAGTTTCAGTAGCCTAACTCGGAGAAGATGGGGAAAGTGAGCGGACATTCCTCCAGCCAATCACGAGTGAAGCCTTGAAGATAGAAAGGACTTGCAGCCAATCAGAAAAGTAATTCCCTGTTCGATGGGCTGGTCTTGCTTCCAGAGTTGGGATAATGTTGTAAAGAGCTTTGTTTTACTCCATTTCAACACTAATGGTAGTTTGCAGGGAAAGTTAAAAGCCTGCATGTTGCGAGAAATGCAGTCATAAACTTTAACAAAGCGTTGTCTCTTATGTCTGACTCTGAACTGTTTGTCCACATTGGCGTCCGATGAGGTAATGTATCGGGAATGTAATAATGTTATATCCATTGGCAGCATCAGTAGTCGCTTCGGGCCACTACTATTTTGTTTCTAAACTTCAGCTGAAGCACAGAATATCTAGCGGCTTGGATTTAGGCCGACGGCTCGTCTCGCAAGCTGTGGAAAACCATGAGGACGGAGGCACAACTTTATGGAAATGGATTATTCTGCTGTGTGTTACAGGAGGGGCAGCGCATGTGAAAAAAAAAAAAAAGCCTTTGTTTGACGGGAGTGTTTTGATTATCTCTGACAATCTTGCTTGAGTTGTTTTCTGTACTACCTTGAGGGGGCGGAGGGTCCGACCGGCGGAGAGGGACACGGCGGAGGGAGTCCTGAGTCCTGCTGCCGTGCTGCGTCCTCAACTCGAACCACTTTTTTAAAACGCCTTGGTGAGACTAATGTTCTGAATGCATGCAGCTGTCTATCGCTACTTCTGTTTAATGACTGTAGACTCCCTTTGTGGAGAACAAACAAAGTAGTAAGAGACAGCATCAGTCATTGATTAAAGTGAAAGTTGACAAATAAGCTCGAACTTTATGGCCCTCGTTCGCACACAAACTTGTTGTAAAGTTTGCAGTTCTTGCGTTGAAGTGTGTATGTGACTATGGTGGAAAGCCGGAGCTGTGTTCAGAGGGAGGGGGTGTACCGCTGGTTCTCTTTCCTCACCTCAGCCCAGCGCACAGAGTTCCTGTGCGGCCTTCTGGACCTCTGCGTCCCTATAGAGCTCCGCTTCCTCGGCTCCTGCCTGGAAGACTTGGCCCGCAAGGACTACCACTCACTTCGGGATGCAGAGATCAAGGCCAACAACCCCGTCGACCTGTCTGGCCTCACCAACATCACGGAGGAGGTGGTGCGCAGCAAGCTGCTGGTGTCCCTCGCCCTGCTTTGCTCGGACAATAGGGATGCGGCGGGGGTCCTGTATCGGACTCTGACTCACATTGACACTGTGATCAATAACTACGGCCTGGCTCTGAACGACGGGAGGACGGAGGAGCAGTTCCTCTTACTATTCACTATGGCCTCTCATCACCCAGCCTTTAGCTTCCACCAGAAGCAAGTACTGAGACAGCAGCTCAGCCAAATCCAAGAGATACTGCAGGTGAGAGAGATGCACGTCCATTTATAAGCTCACACCTAACATCTGGGGGGGGGAGGAGGACTAGAGATGACAGCTGTCCGGTTGCATAGGCCTAAAAAAAAAAACATAAAACTAGGCTTTTTTAAGAGAGCAAAGCTTGTGAATCAAATAATTGTACAACTATTTATAAACTTCTTGTAAAATAGAATAATCTGTCTACACTACCTGATTTAAAGTGAGGGTGGGGCTCCAATAGAAAACAGAGAATGAACTTCAATCATTTCAATAATTGTGTGGGTTAATGAATATAACATAGCCTACATATTTCCTTTGACAGTTTTAGCTTGGGAAATAGTAGCCCTTTAACATATTCATGATGTGATAAATAAACAGTTTAAATTAAATATATTCTAAATTCAAAGTCAGTGCTGTTGACCCACTAAAGACATGAGGAAAAAGTATTTTTCTTTGTGTTGTCGTTGCAGCCTGGTTGAGTCCTGACTGTACTGAAGGCTAGGCAGAGAGTTTAGTGAGGTTCAATTCCGTGTTTCAAAGGCAATGATGGACTGGGATTTTAAAAAAAAGGCCTCGCTCTTGCCATTACCTGCCATATCTTCAACCCCAACCCATCCAATCCAAATGTTAACAAAGGTTTGAGAGAAAACCATTTGGTGTTCTTAAGACTTGGGTAAATCGTAACATTTAACAAAAATAATTTTTGACAGTGTTTTATCATATTGGCTTTCATAATCCAGGTTTAAATCATGCTAAATCAATTTCTTTCACTCTATTCCTTAGACATTTGTGTTTTTTCATCACTAAAGATACATTTTCCAAAAGAGACAATTCCTAAAATATGTTATTTAACATGTTTTATCAGAATTGTATTGACTCTTTAAGGGTTTTCCTTTTTTCCAATCAGTTTTTTCCTCCACATATTTCATTAACACTGAATGCTCTACCACAATGTTATCTTTTCTGAAACGATATTACTGTGTTTCAAAGTTAAAACTGTTTTTGTGACTGATTTCAAGTTACCAAGTTTTACATTCAACTTTGCAAAACTAAAAGGTACTTATTTAGATTTCCATGTAACGTAAACATACAGAAAAAAACCTTTTTGTTTTTGTATCGTGTCTCTGCAATGATCGCACAACGAACTGCATGATTTTGCACCTTGGCATCGGCTTCATTTTTCAACACCGGAGGCTCTCGCTTGCTCCCGCTGTGGGGTGCATATGTGAACAGGCAACTCAGGAAGATTTCAGGGGCAGGTTATCCTGAAATGATTCTCCTAATGTTCAGGAGTGTGTGTATGATGAAAATGACTTGACATCTAGTTAGAAACCTGTAAGATAGTGAGAATCTTTGAAAATGGCACAAGTCACCTAAATGCTTTTCTGACAGGTCAGTTTACACTTTAATAAGGGTTGGTACAAGACAATGAAATAGTTATTCTTGTAATGAAACAACTAGACATTAGTTCATTTTGAGATTAAATGACTGAACATCATACTTTTGCTGTTTATCTGATTTGGTATTTTACTCAACATGTTGATGGTTGCAGGTGAGCAGTGAAGCAGCAAGAGGAGCAGAGACTCCAGCAGCAGGCCCTAGCAATGATAAAGCAGCCACCTGTTATACTCAGCCACATCACCATGATCACAACAAGCCTGCTTCCCTGCCATTGGCCTCATTGCCCCCCACTTCCTGCTCCTTGCCTGATGCCAGTGCTTCTTATCTGCCTAAGCCTGCCAGCCAAACCTGCCATACACACTGTCCCTGCTGGCACACGGTAGGGACTATCACATTCACAACCAAAGTGTACTCTTATATCAGAAATGCACTTTTAACAATAGTGACTATAGAGCTGGTCTTTGTTTTATTAGCAAGTCTCAATAGTGACTATAGAGCTGGTCTTTGTTTTATTAGCATCTCTGACTCCACTTGACACACATGAAACTGGGAGAAAAAAAAGACTGCTTGCTTGCATCTGCACATGTTTTTTTGAAATTAAGAACATAATCAACTTAACTCACTTTTTCTGAGGTATACGTCTCGTGTTATTTTCTCAGCAACATTTGAATTGTTTTTATAATCTTGAAGCTTGCATTGCTCATGTGCTTTGAATGTTGGTGTCCAGAGCAGACTCAGAGCACATTGTGCACAGATTGAAAGATGGGTAAAAACAGTCCATGACTAGAAAAGTGCTATATAAGTCCAAGTACATTTACTGTATCATTTATTGACTTATACTTTGGTTAATTGGTAT